GTTTGCTCACGTCTTGGCAATGAATCCCTTCGCAGCCCCAGTTCAAACTCTCCTCATCTCTCTAGCTGTGCTCTCTCCCAGTCAGCTCACCCTCTTACGTCTGTATACTGCACACGTTTCACCCCTCTTCAGGTCACTTTGGCTGACTTTATGCTGATGAAATGTCAGGGTTGAGGTATCCGTGCAAAGCTGCACACTCACAAATACTACTAGAGGGTCTACATGTTCTCTGGGTTCTAGGAGATGTTGTGTGCTTGTGGTGGCTGGGTTTGGTGTGTGTTTGGGCCTCAAGCTGGGGCTCTACATGTCTGAGGCTGCGTGGGTTCAAGTACATGAATGCTGGTCTTGCATATGCACATCACAACTGCGTAAGTGAGGTCTGTGTGTACTGAGGTGTGTTCACCTGGGTGCTTGTGCATACGTTCTGAGGTGTGTGTATGCATGTGTTGGTGTGTCCCTGTGCAGTCCTGGGTAACCCTGTGTGTTCTTTCTCCTTTGTTGTTTCTGTGAGCCTGTCTCCCTGGCAGGGTGAGTGATTGCTGTCGATGGGGAATGTTCCAGTAAGGAGCAGTGTGAAGGAAATCATTTCACACTCCCCACAGCGTGGACCATGTGCTCTGTTCTTGGCGAGTGTGTGGTTGCTGAGTTACCCCCAGTCAGCTCCTTTCCTCACCTCTGATGATGCATCGACCGGTTGCTGCCTGTTTCTAACACATGCAGGCCTCCGTTCTTTCCTGAGGCCCCTCTAGGACTAGGAGCACAGAGCAGGGCAGGTCCTCATCTCTCAGAGATTTACTCTGTCTGAGCGAGCTTGGGGAAGCCCAGTGGGAGGACAGAATGTACCTGCCCGGGGGAGAGGTGAGATGCAGTAGAGGATTTGGGGCAGGGAGAAACTCTTTGTATCGCTGGCTCTCCTGGCATGAGGGCCATCTGTAACAGAGCAGACAGCTCTGTAGGTCAGTATTTGAAAAGAACTGGCTGAGAGAAAGGGAGGAGTGAACAAGTTCTAGAGCCTCAAGTGTACCCTCAGGGAAATCCAAGGGTCAAGGGCACCAGGAGCGCGTTGGAGCCTGCTTCTCAGGCTGACACTTTCTCCAGAGTCTCACCTCAGATGAGAGGAATAGAGCCTGCTCTCATCCCCTTTACCTCTTCCAAATTCACCATCTTACAGCCTCTGGGCTGCCTTAGTAGCGATTCTGGCAAAAAATAGAAACCCATGAGGAGAGGGTGGCAATTCCTAGGAACAGGGGAGGAGAGCTGGCCAGGGCAGGAGAGCAGGGACAGGAAGGGAAAGAGGTGAGACTTAAAGAAACTGGTGTTAGGCTGACTGGAGGGGAGGAGGAGCTGCTTAGTCTCGTGACTCAGGGACAGCGTGGCAGGCAATGTCCCAGTAGAGTGAGGAGTAACGAGTTTAAAGAACGCGGATACAGAGACAGAGGTGATGAGGACTGAGCACCACCGTGCTTTCGTGCTGGCAGGGAGGCCAGGCCTGCACCAGGAAGGATCTCAGCATGTGGGCCGGGTCACCAGGCTCAGCTCCCGCCGTGGCACCAGGACGGCGAGGACACTGAGCCCTAGCCAGGGAGCGGGTTGCTCTCTGCCTGACACACATCAGCCGCAGAGCAGCGACTGCAGCTCCGGTCCCCTGGCCTCCTATCACACAGGTCGTTTGGGATGACATTTGGGCATCAGATAGCTTTTATTTTATTATCAAACCAGAAAATAGCTACCGCGTATGGGACCATCCAAGTGAAGTAGAAACTGATGTAGCCAGTCAGAAAAAGAGCTTGTGACAGCGCACAGAGGACTTTCATCTGCAAGGAATGCTCTTGCCTTTGAAGGGGAGTCGTCGGATGGTTTGATGTGGGCCAGATGTGGAGAGTTCTGAGCATGAGCGGCACAGCGGCCCGCTAGACAGTCAGTTCAGTTCGGTTCATCCATCGTTTGCTGAAGATCCTGCACAGGCCAGGGCTGGGGAGGCGGCAGACACACACAGAAGGTGAAGACGTGGCCGTGCCTTCGAGGAGCTCAGAGGCTGGCGGGGAGCCAGAAAGCAAGACAGACAGAAAGACAAAGCCCCAGGGAAGGTGGGGTAAGAGCACAGAGGTCTGGGATGGACAAACAGTTCAGGGCTGTCCCAGCATGCACGAGGTCCTGGGTTTGATGCTCAGCTTTGGAAGAAAAACAGCCCTCAGGTGTTGGATGCGAGCAGGTCTAGGGAACATGAAGCACTCTTTCCCCCGGGACTCAGGGGACGCCCAGGTGCAAATACGCTGCACGGGCCACGGGGACTGCGTAGCTTTGGTGCAGGTGGAGGGAAGTATGCAGGAGAGAAGGGAGGGGGCCAGTAGGGGGTTTGCAGAGCCAGATAACCTAGGCCCTTTTGAGGCTATGAAAAAAACCTTGAAATGGGAATCCATAAAAAAATTCTATGCAGGATGGAAACCGAAGGAGATTGGAGTTCAGTGTCTACCCAGGGATCGCGTGCAGGGGAGGCTTCAAAGAAATAAGATCAACAGTAAAAACCCACGAGGAGATGGGGGCAGTTTGTGGGCCACGGAGGAGGAGAGCTGCAACCAGGGCAGCAGGAGGGACAGGAAGGGATGGATCTGGGAGTGTTTAAAAGTGAAAGTTTAAAAAAGGGGTGATAGGTTGGCTGGAGGGGAGAGGAGCTGCTTAGTCTCACGCCTTAGGGGACATGGGGAAAGCAGTGTCACAGGAGGATAAGGGATATGGAGTGTAAAGGATGTGGGGGAGACCGGGGGAGAGAGAGTGAGACAGACAGAGACAGAGACAGAGACAGAGAGACAGAGAGAAAGAGACAGAGAGAGAGAAAGAGACACACACAGAGAAAGACAGAGATGGAGACAGAGCGAGAGAGATAGAGACAGAGACAGGCAGAGACAGAGAGAGGGAGAGAAAGAGACAGAGAGAGAGAGAGACAGAGACAGAGACAGACAGAGATAGAAAGACAGAAACAGAGAGAGACCGAGAGAAAAAGAGAGAGATACAGAGACAGAAAGAGACAGAGAGACAGAGAGAGACAGAGAGAAACAGAGACAGAGAGACAGAGACAGACACAGAAAGAGTCAGAGAAACAGAGCAGAGAGACAGAGACAGAGAGAAACAGAGCAGAGAGACAGAGACAGAGAGAAACAGAGCAGAGAGACAGAGACAGATAGAGACAGAGAGAGTCAAAGACAGAGACAGACAAAGACAGCGACAGAGAGAGACAGAGACAGAGAGAGCCAGAGACAGAGACAGAGAGAGACAGAGACAGAGAGAGCCAGAGACAGAGAGAGACAGCAAGAGACAGAGAGAGACCGAGAGAGAGAGAGACTGAGGACCGATCACTGAGAGCCCTGGGAATGCTCAAGCAAAGATTTCAAAGAAGCACAAAGTTCAAGAGAAAAGACCAACTGAAACAGAGGTTTAGGAACACAGCCCTGTAGGAGGATAAAGTGACCCAGGAGGGTGTGTGTCACAGCAGGGCAGAAGACCCGAAGGAGACGTCTAGGAAGCCCCAGCCTTGAAGGGTCAGATAGAGGAAGAGGTTTTGGTAAACTCAAGACTGAGAACTGGCGGAGAGGAGCCAAGCACTCTTTGGACACTAAAGGAATGGGTACAGGTGGGGTGGGGTGGGGTGGGGTGGAGGCTCCGAGCTGGGGGATAGCGCCCTAACCAGAGGCACAGACGGGTGGGAATAAGGGAAGAGCTGACTTAGACAGGACGGTGGGAAGAGAGCCTGGGTGTGGGAGGAGGAGGCACGGGTGGAGGTCACGGTGCGCGGACGGACGGGGTGAGGCCGAGTTCTCAGAAGTTCTGAAGAGGAGACGGGACAGAGAAGTATCACCAGTGGGGACACAGTGAGAATGGAGGTGCCGCCTGCGGGGTGAGGAAGGAGTCTGCCCCCGAACCCCTATTCCCCTGTCACCCCAGCTGGTAGAGAGGATGCAGACAGGGATGGCTGGTGGAGGACCAGATCACCCAGAAAATAGACGGACACACGGGCTTGGGTCTTGGGCCAGAGGAGGCTGGCTGGGATCTAAATCGTTCTCAGGCTACAGGGCTGGACATGGAGGAAAAGATGCCCGTGGTCTCTGCTTTCTCAATGAAACAGGAGACAGCTGTACACTGGACACATTCAGGGCTTGTGTAAGCAGGGTCAGGATAATTAGGAATTCATGGGTTGGAAATTGGGGTGTGTGAGTATGCTAACCACAGAAAGACCACGAATCCATTGAGAATTCCCCTCTTCCACTGGCAACGATGTTTGAGGGCTCCCACTGCACAGCTGTAGCACAAGGGTCACTATAACCCTGGACCAGGACAGGGGTTTTGACAGGCGGAGGTGGGGGAGGGGCAGTCATAGTCATATCTAGGGTTTATTGTGTATTTTGGACATACAGGTCTAAGCTCTTTGCATATTCTGTTTTGCTTGAAATCAGTAACTATTCTGGGGGTTTGGTGTTAACACTGGGGCAGTTTCCCAGCACCGTCTCCCAGTAAGTGATGTCTGCTCAGTTCCACATGCTGAGTGTGCCCAGTGAGAGGCAGGGTTCAAACAGCAAGCTGTCCCTCCAATTCTGGGGGAAGAAGATTATTTACGGAGTTAATCATGAGATGCTGCTGCACTAGAATACAGAGGGACCAGGAGCTCAGGGTGGACCGAAAGCTCATGGTGGCCATGGCCCAGGCTCGGGCACTTCTGCAGGGGTGGAGGGAGGGCTGGAGGATGGCTGGGCGGGGCAGATCCTGGCTGCTGCGGGAGGGGTGGGGTGGGGGGAGCTCAGGGAACAGCAGTGAGAAGGCCAGGGTGGGTGGTATCAGGACATCTCAAGGCCAGGGGTTTGCAGCAGGCACGGGGAGGGGAGAAGAGGCTGCCTGTGCTTGAGCCTGACTGAGGCTGGGTTTGGGTTTCAGACATGGCCATCCTGCTTCCCTGCTTCCCAGGGACCACCAGTCCCATGTGACCCTGATCTTCCAAGGTCCCCTTTCCCCCCTCACCTTCTCCTGCCCAGGAGCCAGGTTGGAATCCATGCGAGGACCTGCGTGGCCGCTCCCTTCCAAGGAAGGGGTGGTGTCCAGTGAAGGGCAGCACCCCATCTCCATGCTGGCAGTGAGAGAAGCCACAGACACCAAGGAGACAAAGGTGGTACCCCAGTCATCACTGTGTCCCCTTCACTCTTCCGTGCTGGCGGGTGTGGGGATCCACATCCAGGAAAGTGAGTGTGCATGTGTGTGCGTGTGTGCACGTATGTGTGCACGCACGCATGTGTAATTCCTTGGCCACTGCTCTCCTGAAGGCTGACATCTGTGTCCCTGTCTATGGGAATGAGCATGTCCCTTAAATAGGCAAAGTCCGTGGCCCGGTCTGTGGGGACACTGACAAGAGGCCCGGAAATCTGCATCTGTCCCCATTGGGCTGGACAGGACCCAGGGACAGGAGCCACTTGGCGGTAGAGGCCCAGGAGGGGCCGAGCCCCACAGCAGGGAGAAGGCCACCAATCTCCGAGTGGCTATGCAACAGAAATGGCCTGGAAATAGAGGAGGACCAGGCTCGGGTATTCACGGACAGTCCCTGTATCTCTGAGGGAATCTTTCAGATTATTTTATAACTTTTATAGATCTACCACTCCTGTGATTTCTTTTTCCCCAAAGCAGGCTTGTGCTTAAAAGAACACAGCGCATACGGCCCGAAGTAATTTCAAAGCAATTTCCGTGCTTCGCCTGAGGCCCTGCAGACCCGGGAAGGCAGAGTGTGGTCACAGCGATGAGCCTTAAATTGTCCTTTTCTTCTCCCTCTGACTGCCCACCACGCCAGCTGCTCCCAGGCCTTGGTCCTCTGTTCCCTGAATGCGGCCGGCTGGGACTCCCAGCCCAGACCTCACGTCCGCCTCTGCTGGTTTCCTGGCCATCTCCAGCACAAAGCCCGGAGACCACAGGACCTTGGGGCCAGAGACCCTGAGAGGCTGCCGCAGCTGGATTAGAGAGGCTGGGCAGGCACCAAGCTCCGCTAGCGCTGTGGGAGTCCTATGTCTGTCACCCTTGCTTGTGCAGGACTGTGGTCTCCGCAGAGACTCTCGATCCCACAGCAAGGCCCCAGCAGACCTCCATGGCGCCTGCCCTGGGCTCTGCCTTCCACAGGCCGAGTTCACCCAAAGACTTGGCGCCCAGGTAATCCATGCACCGGATGCAGAGGAACAAAACAGATGCTTCTCTGCCACCTGTTTGCTCCTGTGTCTTTTGCTAGCTGCTACCTTGAAGTGTTACCCCTCAGCGACGCCACCCTGCCTAGGAGACAGCTGATTACGGACTGAAACCTCCCCAACAGTGAGCTAAATAAACCTTTACTTCCTTCATTTCGGGTGTTGGGTATTTTGTCCCGGCCATGAGAGAAAAGTAACCAAGACAGCGGAGAAGAAAAAGTTGACAAATTAGAAGGCAGGTGATTACAGAAAGGAGACTGGGTGGCAGAAGGACGTGATTAGGGATACACTTTGTATGCATGAAAATTTTCAATAAAACCCATTATTATAATGAATATGTGCTTCAACTATTTGTTATAAACCTCAGGATCAGGCAACCAAAACTCACTTAATCATGACGTGAAGTCTTTGAATCTCTTCTCCTCTAAGAGCAGAGGGTCTTTGAGAAGAGGGAGGAAGGGAGCCCTGAGAAGGAGCACCTCTAAGCCTTCTGGTTGCCACACCACAGCGGGTGTTGGCCTCTCCTCAATCTCAGCCCTTAGGGGTCCTGCGGCATTCACTCTGGGCCTGCCAGGTGTCAAGCATCCAGCACCTTGGGGACTTGAGTCTGTGGCTCGTCTCCTCCCGCAGAAGGACGAAAAACAGGCTGAACCTTCTACCAGCCCTGGCTGAGGACCAGCTTGTCACTTGTGAGGAGAGCACTCCAAGGCCTCTCCTCCAGCTGTTTCGGCTCTTGTGACGTGCTCTTGCTAACTGTGATCACCTCTCTGTGCAACAGAAAAACAGAACTTGCTGCTCCTGCCGGCTGTGTACGTGCTAGGTGATGTCCCCGAGCTCAGCCTCTTCCCCACCCTCCTGCCCCCTGGTCCCCTCCCTTCTCCCCTCTGCCTCTGTAGGCACAGAGGTTTCCTGTTCTGCTTGTGAATGAAATCATGGAAGCGTGTCTTTCCCCACCTCGTGTGTCGCGCTTAGTATTGTGACCTCTAAGCCCGTGCATGCTGCTGCAGATTCCCTTTGTACCGCTGAGAAGCATTCCCCTGTGTGTCTGCACCACATCGGAAAACTCCGTTTCTCCTTTTGTGACTTTCCAGCCTCCGTTCTCCTCTGTGCTGAGCTGCGGTTTCCTGCAGCGGGTCCATTCCCTCCTCTGTTTCTTGGTCCTGCCTTCGTGCACCCAAAGGGCACGGAGCGCTCCTGGCCTCAGGCTCCACGTGGTTTCTGAATGGTTCTCAGCTCCTCAGTTCCCCCATGTCCCATGCTGAAGTGTGCTTAGATGTCTCTGAGCCATAAAACCTGCTTCCCGATTAGTGCATCTCTCACACTGTGGAGGCAGACTGGGTCCCTGGGTGCCGGATGCAGGGATCCCGTGTAGTCGCTAACCTTTGCCTCTGGGCTCCAGGTTCCTCTCCTGTCTCCTTTATGATATTGGGCTTGGGCTCACAGGCTTCTGTCCTGTCCTGCCAGGGGCTCTTTTATGCCCGATTATGCCAGCAGAGGGTGCGGGAAGGTGCCAGCGTTTGTGACCCTCCCTGCACCGCACTGTGCCCTGTGGCCTAGAGACCCGGCAGGCTGGGGCTCGCCACCCCGAAGCCCCCGTTCCTGCTCATGCGGCTGCTTCTTTACATTTCCTTGGCCCCAGCGAGCATGGCGGTCCCTGTGGTCCCCCCCTCCGCAGGGTCTGGTGCTCTCACCTTTTCACCTCCCCAGCCAAGGCCTTCCAGTCAGGGCCTCTTTGTGCTAAGTCATCTTTGTGCAGGGAACTGGCCTGGGCTCTGCGCACGGAGGAAGGTGGCACAGACACCTGGGCCGACCGGGCTCGGGCCCTGTCTGTGCACAGCACCTGCAGGACCCATGAGCAACTTTGGCCCCAGGTCGCAGAGGCCCTCCAGCTCCTGTGGAGAAGCAGACTGTTGCTATGGTGATGACTTTCATGCCAGGCCTCGATGGCCCACTCAAACACGACCCATCTCTGGCAGATCCCAGTGCACTCCTGACTTCCTGGGCGCACAGCTGAAGCTTTCACAGAGAGGTGTGGTCATCCCACGCCTTAGTCTTGGGGGGTCAACATCTTTGGTACTAACTCACACCATCGCCAGAGAACACTGAGGCGTGTGTGTGTGTGTGTGTGTGTGTGTGTACATGCACGTGTGTGTATCAGGTATTTAATTTTTTATTTTTTAGAGAATAAAACTAAATGAGACAAAATAGAATAGAGTCAATCAAAACAAAAGGATCAACATGGTACATGACCTAAAAACAAAATACAAGATCAATAATGACTACCATAATGCCTCTTTTTTTTTTTTTTTTTTTTTTTTTTTGTCTTTTTCGTTTTTGTCGGTACCAGGGATTGAACTCAGGACTGCCTGCTTGCAAGGCAGGTCCTTATGCCACTGAGCTAAATCCCCAGCCCCCATAATGCCTCTTGTTATCTTCAAAAGAACTGCCCATATCATCAGGCACAATAAAATCAAACAAAACAGTATAGAACAAAACCAATAAAAACAAAGCATTGCTAACATTATAGGACTTCAAAAGAAGATAATAGTCAAACCAGAATGGGTAGGGTAGTATATCTTACTGTCTTCAAAGTAGTTGCCTATACCCTCAGACTTGAGACTATCAAACAAAACAGAATAGAATAAAATCAGTCAGAACAAAACAGTGAAAACAATACAGGGCTTCAAATCAAACTAACAGGAAATCAAAAATGGTTACCATAGTGTATCCTGCTATCTTTGAACAGCTGTCCATGCCATCAAATCTAATGCAGATAGACAAACTAAAACAGAATAAAACTAAACAGAACAATGAAAACAACTTGGGTTTCAAATCATGATAATAGATCAACAGTGGCCACTGCCTTCCCTCTTTAGACCGTTCCTCCCCTTTCACAGGGTGTATTGTTTTAAAGAACCTGGGTATCTACGGAGTTGGTAATGTAAACACTGGGTGTTTAAAGAGTCGCTCTACTTACTGAGCTCACACTGGGTCACCTCTGCTTACCAGGATGCGATGTGAGGAATCTGAAGAGTTTAAAGTAAGCAGAGGTCTATCTGTCATGCAGCCAGACATCGGGGATGAGAGCCCGAGTATGAGCGCCCGAGGATAAGCGGGGCTCTGGGTGGTGACAGCTGGGTCCTGACCCTTTCTTGTCCATTCTCAGTTTATCACTTTTGTTCTAATCAGTGCCTGCCCCATTTCCAGCCTCTGGCTCATGTCCAGGGCAGGAAGCAAAAGGACCAAACTGTGGGCCAGGGCAGGGCTGTGGACAGGAAAGAGCCCTTTTCCAGGTATCCCCAAAGTCCTTCTCTTGTGTCTAATTGGCACGCGGGCTATCTTAGCTGCCGCGGAGCCCGGGATGGAATCGTCTACCTAGCACGTGGCTGCACATCTCACCCCCACAATGCTGCTAGCAAGACAGAAGTGGGTCATGGATGTTGGATGGGCAAACCGCAGTGTCCATCACACTGCATGGCCCCTGCATGGAGGGCGTTGGTCTCCTAACCCTATCTGCACAGAGACCTCAGGACTTTGGAAGGAGTGCCAGGAGCCCGTCATGGCCAATACTGGGCCGCCTTTGCCTTAAATCTTTTGCGTAACAAGGAGAAAATAGGCTTTGAAGGTACTGAGAGGTTGACCTTCTTAGTCCAGTGTCGTGCACAGCGCCCCCAGCTGGGCTACTTGGCAATACACGCTCTCTGGCCACTGCCTCAGAGTTGGATCCTAGGCCCTCATGATGGTCCACCGGGGCCCTCCTGTGCTCCCCCCACACACCTCATCGGCTCTCTCCCCTTAGAATTTTCCTTCACAGGAGTCTAAGGACCAGTCGTCTCTCTGATGGAGGGCAGCAGGTGGCAAGGCAAGCAGATAGAATGGGCTGCACACTTAGGGAGGGCAATGCCAAGATGCCGACTGCTTAACAGCTGCCAAGGCACCATGCTTGTTTTGCCTGGCAGCCACGGTCAGGTGACAAGAAGGCAGCCACTGAAGAGCCCAAAGAGACCTCTTCCAAGGCGACGACTGCATGGAAAGATGGCAGCCACAGGCTTCGGGGACTGACTTCACCGGGCCTTTGTGAGCCCAGGGGGTGCAGGAGTTGGGCTGCTGGGCTCGCGGTGTGTGGCTGCACCGTGAAGTCAGCTGCAGGGAGGAGCTAGAACAGCCTTCCCGTGGCTGTTTGCAAGACCTGTGTGTGTTCACTCTTTTCTTTCTTCCTACCCTCTGGGGAAAACTCCGCACCCCCTGGCCCATCTTCTCCCACAGCACCCTGCTTTATGCTTTGGGCATTTGCCAACAGAGGCCTGGTGGATGCCTCTAGGCTTCTGTAGGACCTTAATAAGATCTGTAAACACACACTTCCAGCACAATCACAATTGGAAACTTCTTGCTTAAGTAAAATCTAAACAGCGTTTAATTATGTATCACCTCTCAAGGACCATTTAAGAACCAAACCGGTATTTACAAATGGATTTGGAATTTTCTCAGTGAAGGGAATTAATTCTGTCTGTTGCTTCTCAATGCAAACAGAAGAGAAGAAGGCTGATTATTTGTTCAGTGATACAGCAATGGAGCCTCTGGCCCAAATCAGGCAGCCTTAGGATTTTTATCTAGTGAAATTCATTGGTGGAAAAAAGAATTGTTTCAGAGAGCTTGCTGTACCTCTTGAGTAAAAATTACCTGGTACAAGGGATCAAGAAGATAGATGATAGGAGGATAGCTGCCCAGGAGAATGAACAAATAGGATGTGGGGAGAGAGAGAGAGAGAGAGAGAGAGAGAGAGAGAGAGTTCACCCCACTTCCATCTTTCCAATTCACTCTGGCCTCCAGCAGGTTGCACAGCACCCACAGGCACTGAAACACATCTTCCACACTGGTTTCATCATCTCGCAGTCTAATCTCCCCCAGAAACACCTGCGGGGACCCCGGGGCAGCCTGGTTGCTTTACTCCAATGTTAAACCACTTGGTTTCTCTTTTGGTAGAAGAGGGACCAGCTCAGTGCCTGATGAAGCACCGAGGATAACAAATGTAATCACTGAGAATAATAACACTTTCACAGCCTGGTGGACAGTTCTTAATTCAGCTGACACTCAAAGTCAACCATCACGATGTGAGATTTTACCTTTTACCTTTCCGTGCTTAGTCTTTGGAG